TAAACTGCATGGTATTGTGTTTTACTAGGCCACCTACCCTGCTGTCTTCAATTATAAAAGCTCTGAGTGCCCTGATGATGTAACTGATTTCAGGATGAGCCGTGCTTTTCAGGAAGCCAGAGTTGCCAAATATCTGTCTTGGCCTCCGCTCGAACTGTGTGAGAGAAATCCCTGCGTTATTAAGCATTTCTTGGATTTATTGTTTGTTGTGATTCTGTTTGCTTCAGGGTCTATTCCTGAAAGGCTTTTAAAAGATAGCAAGTAGGCAATTACATGCTGGTTTGCTTTGTGGGAAAGCTTGCACAAAGCAGAGGTGCAACCTCTGCCCAAACAGGCTCTTTTCACGCTCGTTTAGCAAACCTGGCAGTCTGGATTTCCTCCTCTAATTTTATAATTTCATTATGAAAATCTGGGAGACCTACGCCTTGAAACATTCACCTCCTCTGGAGGTAGCATTTTGCTGCATGGAGCTACCATCAATACAGGTTTCCTAACTACATCCCACACTGCTCTTGTGTGGGAATGAATGTGTGTGTGGGTTTTGGCACCAGGAGCCACATTATGCTGGTCAGGGTGGAGCAGGTGATAGGGAGTGTTTCCCATGAACAGTGGGATATTTGGCAGCCTGGGGTGGTTGGCAAATGCATGGAAATCTGACCTGTAAATGACTTTATACAAGACAGCTGTTTAAAACAGGTAGAGAACAGTTCAACTGTTGTAATAGTAATTTCTTTGATTGTCCTAGCTAAAGACAGAACAGAGAGCTTTGGCTGATCTTAAGGTTTCTGATTGAAGTTCAGCATAATTTCAGGTGTTTTTGCAAGCTGCAATTTTACATGTAAAATGCTAGCATTTTACACACTGTGTGTCACGGACGTTTAGCAGACTTCTTCATCTAGGTCCCATTTGCTGTTCGTTTGATTTTAATACATAAATCGTATATTGTTCTTTGCCTGCACCATACATAAGATGTTTTACTAGTTACCTTTCCTGAAAAAAGTACTAGCCTCACTAAGGTACTCCAGAAAACCACATGGTTCTTGTAAAGCATAACCCATACATCTATGCAGGTTGATCGGATGGGCAGCTGAATTACAAAGCAATGAATTGTGTTATCTTTCATGGTTTCCAGATAGATTTAACGACAGCAGCTCTCTCAAAATGGAAGAGCTTTTCTTCTTAATTGAACTATTGTGGAAAGAAACCTTTAACTGAAGCTGCAAAGTAGCAAAAGCATTAGGAGGAAGAATCAGAAAGTTCAGGGCCCTGTGAACTCTCTTGCTTCACTCATTTTCAGTTACCCATTGCTTTCATTCTGGTTCCTTCTTGCTTGCTGCCCATCTGCTCTTCAGCACAGAGTGGTGATTTCCAATTGGTGTCAATGCAGGGGTTTATTTTTTTTTTTTTCCTGGAGATGCTACTGCTCCACAACATAAATTGTGAGGGTGCCTTTCAGGATTTTCTGAAATGGCTAGAGCTGCCCTGCAGTGTGGTAGACCACTTCAAATTAACTTTGAGTTGCAGATAAACTCATGCCTTGAAACTATGTTTGGTTGCTTGCATGGTGTTAAGCTTGCTGCAAGGGAAGTGCGAGATATGGGCAGCATTTTAGTTACCCTTAGGCAGACAAAAAAAAGTCAACATCAAGATGTTTAAAAAAACTGTACTGCCAAGGATGAAGGAGCAATTACTGCCTTCCATTTAGATTCATTTTCTGACTTTAATTTTCTCCTCAGACCAGGCTTGAGAGGGAACAGAGAGAAGGTAATGGCGTGAGTTCCTCTAGGACAGTGTTTAGACCTAGATCAGGGTCTGGTTTTGCAAGGCCCTGAAGCACAGACATGCTTTCCTGAGCCTCAGCAGCTTAAAATGAAGGGACTGCATTCACAAATGGCATGTTGTCCCTGGCAGCTGTTCCAGAGGAAAATTCTTCGATGCAACCTTGATCACTGAAAGCCAGATCCCTGCCGAGCATGGCAAAGCAGCGAGGTTTGCATTCCCCACGCCTCCCTGCAGGTGCTGCCCCTCGAGCTTATAGCTTGCCTGACCCTGGGTGGCTGTTCTGGAGGGTGACAAACACATGGTCTAGAGATGACAGCCACCTCTTGAATTTTAGGTCAGTGGTGTGAGGTGATGCAGTTTCTCAAGGATGGAGCTGGCAGACTTCATGACACTGATAAAAGTGCTCCCCTGTCTTTAATTGAAGTCTTGGAGAAAACACCGAACTGTTCTGGCTGATCTTTTCCAGAATAATTCCACCTAAAGCATATATTTGTAATGGAAAATTTCTGCCCAAAGTGTTAAAATGACAACCGAGTGAAAATAGGTTCTTGAAAAGAGGCAGGCAGTGTGATTAATAGAGGGCTCTCCTCCCCCCACCCGTGAAAATAGAAACAAAATGCAACCCAACACTTCTGTTCCTGCTGCAAATTGTGAGGGGGTTGAGTTTCATAACAGGTTCCAGTAGGGAAAAAAAGATCAGGATTTAATCCAAATGCTGTTAAAGTCACTGAGAATCTTTCCCTTTGGCTCTGGTGGGCTTTGGAGTAGGGCCATGGTGAACACTTGAAGGCCAACCTGACCTTTCATGGAGAGAGAAAACTAAAGGCTTAGTTTCATCTCACTTGTACTTGCTGGAGCCTGACTAAAATCAGTGGGAGCTCAAAAAACTTTGCACTTTGTGGAGATCAGCCCTTGAAGACTAGTCTGACATTTAAGTCAGATTCGGTGCTTGAATGTCAACATTTGTAAATAAGTAAACACCAAAGACTTAAAGTCATCTGACTTCTTTACAATGTATGGTTTGGTTCCTAAGTTTTAGGCACAACACTTAGGGAAAGTTTTCCAGAGAGCGGTTATTTTGTAGAGAGTACCCAGATGTACTTTTCTTCTTTAAATGCCACCTCTGTTTCTTGATGGATTTTCTTCTGTTGCTTTTGTGTGCAGTGTAGTCTTTTCTCCATCTTGCCATGGTGACCAGGCTTGCAAACTTCCTACTATAGAAAATTTGAACAAAAAGCCAGATATTAAAGACTCTTGGCAGTGTTAGGAAGTGCTGCAATCTTGTTTATTTGAAGACTTGAAGGATGGAAGCAATCAAATGATAGACTGTCCTGAGGAATTTGGAGAGGAAATAAGATGTATTTTATATGCTAGATGTTCACGAGAGAAATGTATGATGCATTCATGCTTGGAAAGGTAACTTGAGTGCAAGTGTTGTGATTCATGCTGCAGTTTTTGTAAATCATTTAAATAGAGTATCCTGATAGTGATTGTATGTTACACAGGGGAGCCTGCAAATGTTTTCCTTCTGAATTTATTTTGTTTACTTGATATTTATGACTTCTTAAAATTCTTTGTCATTTTTTCAATAGTTTTCTAGTCCTCTATGCTGTTGTCTTCTGTATCTCTTTTTGTTTCTCGTTGCTTTAGTACAGTGACGAAGCCTCTGTAAGGTTCAATAGAAATGGAATTATCATTGAATTAATGTCATACGTATGGCGCTGTTTGCTGTATTAAGAAAACTCCTTAGAATTTGGCAAGTGCTTCTACCCTATATTAAAATAAATGTGTAGTCTTGGCTCCAAATACAATTTAATTTTACTCATTGAGAATCAGGAAGGTTTTTATGAACGCTCCTACAACAATAAGCCACCTGTGTGTATGTGTACAGTTAATTATCATAACACCTTGTCAGCAGACTTATAATGAAACCTAAGCATGCTGAATATACTTGAAAAAATGATGAAAATAAGTTCAGTTTTGCTGGATGATTATTCCCATCTCTAAAGACTGAACAGAGTGCTGGGAACAAGGAGTTTTTGCATTTTAATAATGGCCTAAATTGAATTGCTCTGTTTGGATGACCTGGTAAAAATGTAGCTCGGCATAGTCTTCTGGGATTCTGAAGACAGCAACCTCAGAGAGACTTGTGTGGGGGTGTTCTGAGGATTAAGGAGTTAATTGATTAAAAAAACCAAAACCAAACCAGATTTTGATGGGGAAACTGACACGTATTATAGTGCCTATTATTTGAAGTGGTCTTGATATTTTACTTAAGTCATGGGCAAAGAGCTTTGAAGAGTACGAGTGGTGTTATTTTTACTCCACGTTAGTTTAAGGGTGGTGTCCTGGTTTCATCTGGGACAGAGGTAGCTTCCTTCGTAGTAGCTAGTAAAAGAAAAGGACTGTTGTGGTTTTGAGCTCTGGCTAGCACCACACAGCCACTCACTCACCTTCCCCTTTCCCGGGGATGGGGGAGAGAATTAAAGGGGTAAAGAGAAAAGAGACTTGTGGGTTGATATAAGAACAATTTAATAACTAAACTACAATAAAATTGAAAATAATGCTAATGATAATAATTATGATAACAATAATAATATATACAAACATACAAATGAGTGATACACAGTGAAACTGCTCAGCAGCTGGTGACCAAGGCTCATCCTGTTCCTGGCTAACGATCCTGGAGCAGAGAGAGTCCTGAAACCACAATCCCGGAAAAGAAGATAAGAGACCCGAGAGCCAGCTGAGGGAGAGGGGCAACCCCAAGAGAGAGCAAGAGAGAGAGAGAGGACCCGGAGAGAGAGACCAGAACTTCCAGACAGACCCTCAGCTATACGCTGGGCATGACGTGCATGATATGGAATATGTCATTGGCAAATTTGGATCTCAGTGCTAAACCTAAGGTCAAATCCTAAGCCAATAACTGGGCTGTGCTCCCTCATAGCTTCTCCTGCCCCTGCAGACACTGGCACAGCAGAAAAGCTGAAAAGACCTTGACTGTCCTGGCAACAACTATAAACATCAGTATGTTATCAGCCTTCTCCTCATCACAAAACCAAAACACAGCCTCACACTAGCTACTATGAGGAAAGTTAACTCTGTCCCAGCCGAAATCAGGACAGGTGGTTAAAACAAAGCACATCTTTTTTTCCAGTTTGTAAAATGAGTTATTGTTTCGAAGTATTTCAGCAAATATTTGTTTCCTTCTGTTTCAGCTACCTGACTGCAAATAAAAAACAGAATTTCTTGTATACGGCAAGGCCTTTTTTGAAGAGAGCTGCTTTGGTGATAAGCTACGTAAGTACGAATGGACTTGGCTGTGTATTTCTGTGTATGCGGTGAGAATGAACATTGTGTGGTAGTATCCCAAAAGACTCAGAAAGCTTAGATGGTAGTTGTCAACACACAGTTAGTCTTGGAAAATAGTCTAGAAAACTTCATCTGGGCAGAGACAAGAATATTGTTGTGTTCTCAGTTCAATTTTTCTTTTGATTGTAGTGGTTGCCCTTACAACCATGTAATCATCTGCAAGTGTTTCCTGCCCTAAATACATGGGGACTCTCTGGTGCTGGTCTGACTTTTCAGTGGCATGCTGTTAGTTTCAGTGCAGGGCTTGGCAAGAGTCCAAAGAAAAACTCTGCCTGCAAATACCTGCTGCTTTGCATGCTCCAAGCAGGACTTGACACGTTGCTGGGGAGAAAACAAGCACCTCCATGGGGGTGTGCTGGGTGTGCAACTCCCTGTGCTGCTCTAGGAGCTGGATCCCTGTACTCATCCCGCAGTGACAAGTGGTTTCCAGAAAGGTGGGGGAATGCCAGCCCACAGAAGTCCTTCCAAGGATTAGGATTACACAGCATGAGAAACACTGATGGAGGTTGTCCTTAGACCTATGCCAGCATGAGTGAACAATAATAGCTTTTAAGACATCAGCCATGTTTTTCCCCTCTGTATTTAGGTAGAGGTCAATAGCAAAACTCTGCAGTCTGAGCTGCAGCAGGGTGATGGATTTGTCCTTCAAAATGCTGCTTTTGTCATAGGTAGTCGAGATATGCCAGTTGCTGTCAGTAATGCACACGTGAAAAGGGGTGAGCACAACAACATAGTGTTGTCTGTGCTGAGGGTTCACACGTTTGTCATCCTGCATAAGGTGACAAAATTGAATTTTGCCTAAACTGCTGAGCTGAATTGTGTCGAGGCACAGAGCAGAGCACGGAGAGCTATCACAACAAAAGATTTGTGGGAGGCCTTAGTTCTTCTTAGTAGCGCATTGCTAACTGAGATGTTCTTCTTTGAAGGTGATTCTCGTGTTGTATTTCCGCCTCTGGATAATGGGAGGATCCATGCCGATGTTTTCAGAGCAGGACAATCCAGCTTCATTCTCACCATATTTACTGACGAGGTACAATGCAACTAATCAAACAAAAGTTGTTTTCTTGTCTTAATTACTTTTCTTTATTGGTCTGTCTAGAATAGAAAGCAACCAACATTATTTGAACCCCAAAGCACACTCCGGGTCCTGTAGAGTTAAATTAAAGATGCTTTCTTACTGAAAAATGTGGGCTTATTTTTTTGCAAAGCCCAAAGAATGTAGTTTAATTGCACAGGATTGGAAAACTCCCTGAGTGAAGCCTAATCCTAAACCTTAAAACTGGCTGCTCCTGATGTATGGAATGCAAACTTTCACAGTTTCAGCTTCAGCTGAAGTTTGTACAAAAAAGGGATGACCATGCCTTTTGGTGGAATACCAGTGGCTGATCAGTGAAGGTGGAAGGCAGGAGCCGTGTGGCACAGAGTACTGCACAGTTCTGGCTAAGGATAGGATAGGCTGCCATGGGTGAATTAAAAACAATGAAGCTGAAATTTGTGTTAACAGATTTTTATTATTTCATCACTATTTTTTTTTAAAGATAAATAAATGCTTACATTTGGTAAATTTTTTTTCCCCCCCCCTGCCTGGGACCTGGTGTGTGGTGAGGTGGGCTGATACCACATCCCTCTGGCTCTGCTGGGCCAGAGCAGCAAGGCAGGTGCAGCTGTGACTTAGGTCTTCCTTCCAGACCTAACCAGATCAGTGCTTCAAGAAGGTGGTAGGAAGTTGATTTCCTCTTAAGACAGGGGCACGTGCATAACTGTTTACTCTAGTTAGCTACTGAACTGGGGAAAGACCCTTTGGAGGCTTCTGGAGGAATTTCCTGATGTCTCAAATGAAAATGGGAACAGTCCTCCTCTGTGTCTCTTTCTGGCCTTGCTGGCTCCTCATTCGAACAGTGGAATTGCAGCTGGGACACAGGTTAAGAGCAAGCAATCCTTATTCAACATCTGCTGCAGAATCGGACTGGATCTCATTTGGGAGACCTTACGATAATGTGACAACAGCTCCTATTACCATCAAGGCTGAAAGTGCTTCCAGGAAGCACATTGTCTGATTTGGAAAGCTCTGATCTGTTCGCAGCGTTTCTGGCAGAATCATTAATACCAGACTCTGTGCGCCACAGCGTGAAGGATTTGCTGCAGTCCCTTTTTTGATATGTTTATGCTGAGATGGGGGCCATCAAGTCATAAATGATCCTGGCCTGATTCCAATTATGTGTTCTGTGCTGCAAATGTCTTTCGTGTGTTTGTCTCTTTACATCCTGTAATAACAGGGGAAGGTTTTTTAAACTCAAACGCAAAGTCATTCTTGGGGTATGAAACAGTAACTATTTTTCACCACCGGCACTGTGGGTTTTATTAACAGCCTTGTGAAAGAGTGCTGCTGGCTGAGGTCCTCCCTAGCCCCAGAAGCAGCCCTGGCTTCACCTGCAGTCCAGCAACACCTATCTGCTCCGAACCTAGTTAAGGAAAACCTTGTCAGTAAAAACCAGTATTATTGTTCTGGGAGGTTTCTAAAACCCTGTAGTTAGCCCAGCTCTTCCACTTCTGCTGAGCTTCATCTTAATCCTCACTTCAGCCAATTTACCCAGAAGCCTGTATCTTCCATCCAGAAAACCCATCTCTTCAGCAAGCGTGGATGCCAGCCATGACATGGCTTTCTATTATGCAGAGTTAAATTTAGCTGGTAACTTCCTTCCCTGCTGATCTAGCACCGACCTCCCATGGCTGATGCTCAGTCACGGGTCCTGACAACAGAAACTGAAAAGTAGGTTTGCTGATGAATTCTGGTCAGGGTCCTGTCAGGAGGCGGGACTGGAGGCAAGGCTGCAACACTGGCCCAAGTTCCATCCAGGAGAGAGGGCAAGAGGTAGGAGTAGAGGCAAATGAGAGCACGTGCCTGAGGGAGCCCATCCAGGAGACAGGCTACCTACAGCACAAGTCCAGAGTCCATCCAGGAGATAGGGCTGAGCTCAAATGGGGCTCCTAGAGCAATGGGCATTAGGTGTGGGGCCAGGTGAGGCTCATCAGGGCTCTGACAGCCTGTTGCTGAAGTTCAGTACCTGCCACTTGCCCTGGCGTGGCTCTTGTTGCTGACCTTCTGTGATAGCCCTTGTCCTCACCCTCTGGGTGTTGTAGGATACAGAAAGAAGAGTAAGCTGTTGCTACAGAAAAAAATGGTCTCAAACCTCTGTTGCAACATTCTTGCTTGTATTAGATGAAAGTTGAGGAAGAATGCAATTAGAAAGTTTTCAAGAGCTACCCAGCCTTAGGTAAATGGTGTACTAAGTGCAGAGCTGGAATGTTAGCAGGGCGTTGTTGAGAGGTGGGCTGTCATGCTTCAGGCATTTTGTACAATGTTTCTTTATTCTGCCATTCTTGGGGGGAAAGAAGTGGGAGGCCACTGAATAAACAGATTGTATTACTAGCACCATGGTAAAACAAGGGAAAAGTCCATTGTTCAGGTGTCTCAAGGTGTGTGAAACAGATTAAATCCTACCAGTAATTTCAAACTAAGAAAGTATGTTTTTTTTTAAAACTACATCTTTGGGAGTCAAGTTATATTAATCTCTGCTGACATTTGCCTTGTGACCTCCCTTGGCTCATCACTCTGGGCATAAAGCAAGCTTATTTGTGTTGTTGCATTGAATAGTTAATACTTTTCTGGTAAGACTGCCTTGAGATAACATTGTCCTGTGGTTGAACTGCTCTCTCTGTAAGCTGGCTTTCTGCATTTCTTTGCTGTCTCAATCAGGTAAATGAGAATTCAGTGCCGCAGAAAGCTGAAGTGCTTATACATAAAAACTGGCACATACTCTTTTGCAGAGAGATTTGTGACTGTTTTCCGAGCAATGCATTTAATCATCCTGGTTGTAACTTCAAAGGGAATGAACTACCGAGAGGCACAAAGGGGGACCTGTGCTGGAGAAGTGCGTCCTCATACCAGCCAATTCTGCCAAGGCAATAAAAGTCAAGTGCAGCAACTACTGTGGTATGGGATTCTTACTGACCTTAGGCTAGGAACTGGCATTAAAATAGACCCCTGTGACATATCAGTTCTTAATTAGCCAGGCTTGTACATGCTTCCTGAGTGGCAAAGTTCTGCCTGTTTTGTCAGTGCTTTCTATCATGTGCCCAAAGGTGCTTAACTTCAGCCCTACATGTAATCTCTGCAGGCACCCAACATTCAGGGCTCACTTCTAGACAAAAGGGAGAATAATAGTGTCAGTAAGAATTGCTGTCATGCCCACCTAGGGGCCAGACAGTCCATACATTAAGTATAAAATGTATTCTTTATTCCAAGGGTTCTGAGGGCTGAGGGGAAGCCTATCTGGAAGGTGGTGCTACAAAACATAGGCTATCCTACAGCAGCAGGTTCCCAGAGGAACCTGCTTTCCCTGAGCCACGTGAAAGATTTCAGCGTCTCTCTCAGTTAAGGTTTCTTAAGTAGGTAGTGCTGCTCTGGAAATCCGCTTGATAGGTGTTTTTGATGGGTCATAGCCCTTGCTGCAAGCACTGGTTACCCAACAAAGCTTCCCTGCCAAAAACCTGCGTACAGCGTAGAGGGGATACAGCCAAAGCAGAGGCTATTGACTCCTCTAGGCAATGCATTTTCCTTTTCAAACTACTTCCATGTAGGAGGCCTACACCACGGCCAGTCTCTGAGACAAAGCAGTGTGCCCAGGACATCTCTTTGGCTCCTGCTGGCACGGCGTAGGTAATGCTCTGGGGTACAATGGACCACTTCCAGAAACATTATCACAGTGGATGTATGAGGTCTGGTTCTTAATTTCCTGAGGATCAGCCACCAGTATCTCCTGAGGACCCTCCATCCCCTGCTGCCTCAGTGAGCCTCTTCTGAAGGAGCTGCCCACCGATGGCTGGGGGTTTTGGCTGCGTGGCTCCTGGAGCGTGCTGCTGTCAGTGGCAAGCTGAGGGTCACGTTTGATCACACGGCACCCTCTCACCCTCAGCACGTGGGGGCTTGCGGAGGGGAAACAGTGCAAGATCAATCCCAGGTTTTCCAGCATTGAGACTCTGACAGCAGGCTCGGGTTTCACTGGTAATTCACAGGCTCTTTGAAAGTCTTTACTCTTCAAGAATTTGATATTTTTCAGATTCTTAGCCACAGAGTTGAAACAACTGAGAGAGAGCTGTTCACTAGATCAAAGCTCTTCAGACTGTGAAGCTGTAGAGGACAACACAGTCTGCCTTTCCTCCTGTGCCCCTGGTGCACACAAACCCAACTTCCAGAGGAGTTACCTTGCTATTCATCAAGATGCAGCTGTCTGTTTATCTGTATTTTTGTCTTTCCTGCTCCTATCGTCTACTGACTGGCAGGTCTTTTTTCCTTCATGCAAAAAGTTTTATGAAAAAGAATAT